ATTAATTTGTAACGCGTTACTTTTTTATTTGCGTTACTTGTAATGAGTTATTGTTATTTGTTACTTGTTACTTATTATTTTTTTTAATAAGTAACACGTAATGATGACAAATTACATTTCAAAGTGACTTTTCTAACCTTAGAACAATCTTAGCGTTTAGTTAGTTCGTGTTACTGTCATAAAAAAATGCAACATCGTTATCAAATCATTTACTATAAAAAGTAACGACAAAGTAACTATAAAGTAACGTTTGCCAACCCTGGTTAAACTACACCTCAAGATGTTTATTATCTTGATACAAAATCCTTTTACAACCTGCATTTATAAAAGACTGTAAAGATGCTAATATCTACAGAAAATGTAGATAATAGTAATTCCATCAAACAGCAACTAATAAACATAACAACGTAATATTTAATTATAATTGTCCATTCAACGATATAATTATATGTATAATTGTGATATATATAACACATAATATTCACAATCAATAAGAACAGAATATAATAGTTATATAACGTTATAATAATTATATTAATTATATAATAGTTAAGTAGTACATATAACAATTATATAAATATTATATTCTGTTTGCTGGGTGGTTATAGGTACTGTTAACGGGAAAATTATAACTAACAATTATACTGTCGATGTATGTGTTTGCTGGAATATTTTACTTTAAAATTCTAAATATACAGTTTAGCACATAATTGTATTGGGGACAAAATAATTAATTTTATTATAGAAACGTATTATATCTATATTTAAATTGGAAAGTATGGAATTATACCGATTTTTTTATCATTATGACACTTAATACTCTAAACAAATAAAAATATCAATAATTGTCAATACAGTACAAAATTCTATTAGAAACGTTAATTATTGTTGCAATGATGTTTGACTTAATATACAATATTACATATGATTTATCGATAAGCAATTAAATTTTTATTTTTGCAAACAGCTTGTGATAGAGTTAACTTACTTTACAATTATGCATTTATTTATCTGTATGATGTCGTGATGGCATAATTAAAATAGAATGAACTGAACATGAAATAATGGGGAATGAACAAAATTAATCCTTTTATAAAAGTGTCAAATTGCTTTAAAAACTAGTTTTTAAAGATATATATTATATAGATTTTAAAATAAAAATTATGAAAAATTTTATAGATTTATTTTGGATCGCAATTGAAAGTAATATATAGATATTTTTAAGTATGTGTATATAATTATTGATAATTAAGAAGATAATAATATTTTATTTTATATAATAATTTCATTATATGTGTATAACAATTAGATAGTGACTTCTATTAGTTTTGTCATTGCTGATAAATGGTTGCATTCTATCTGATTTAGAGATACTATTTTGATTCTTCCCTATTAAAAAAAAAATCATGTCACAATGTTACATGATGAAATCACGTAATTAAAATATCTAAATCATGTAACGGATTGTCAAATCAGTATGTGATTTTTTTAAGTGATGTAATCTAAAAAATTATATAATATTACAAATAATTTTATCCGTTATGTGATTTTATAGTTATCGAATTTTAAAAAATTGAATAATAGAAATAGAAGAAAAAAGAATCACCATGTGACTTTTCAAAATACGTAATTTTATAATCACGTACTGATTTGGAACAATTCATTGTGATTTACGTGTTTTGATTATACGATTTCATCATGCAACTATGTAACGTGATTTTTTTCAATAAGGTTTCCTTCATTTTGTTTACACTTTATTCTTCCTTGTATATTATGAACTACATCTATATTTATTTGTGTTTAAATTATATTTCTTTATTATATATTTTCTTTCTATGTATAGACAGTTTCATGTATAATAATACACGTGATTACTATTTAGGCATGTCCACGGTTCATGAGGTGATCACCGCCCGGCATTGCGATCTCACCGTGTTCACGTTCAGTTTAATTACTAACCAATGTGTTACCGATTATGAAGATCACTACGAAGCAAATCATGAGGAAGTGATGGACGTTGGCAAAGCGCGACAGCCGATTCTTCAAGAATTTATGTCCAAAATTGTGATACGTCTCAGGGATATTCTGCAATTGACGACAAAATAATTCATTTTATATACTGAGCAGAATAATTCATTTTACTGCACCTCGAATTGTTGAATTATTCGTTTTAATTTTTATATTTAACTCTTAATATACATCTCTTAATACATATCTCTGAGTCATTCGTGTTCTGCGCATTTCTTTTCTTTGAAATATGTACTAAGAGCACCTGGTAAAATATATCGGTCTCTTTTCTATTACTAAAAAAAATTTGGCATCTGAAGAACAAGTTTTGTGCGTTGCCAGCCTCAATTCGTGCGCATCCTTTAATTGGCATAATTCCGAAGTTCACTTTTGGATTACAAATAATCCAACGTGTATACAGAGTGCACATTTTTTGTAACTAAAAAAATTGTTTTTTTTATTTTTAATTAATTCTTGGTTGTATTGTGAAAATATTTTGCGAATTATTAAAAAAAGAATTTAACAACATTAGAATAACATATTAGCCCTTAATAAACACGAATTTTGGTAATCTTGTGCAAAATGTTGTCAGTAATATTATATGTTATAATATATTGTCGGTAATGTTATAAAGAACATTTTCTTAATAAATTATAAGTTTTTTTTAACACAATAACAATAATAAAATGCATTGTTTAAAATGTAAATATATCTTCAATTTATAGCCATTCATGCATATTAAAAAACATCATTTTCAAGTTACTCAATAACTAAACATTTTAGACAGCTGACATTTGAACTATTTTTTTTTGTAATTTGGCATATCAATTGTAAGATATTGAACTATATATTTTTTTAAACATTTTCGTTTTAAAGTTTTACATTCTTATATGAAATAGTGCATTTTTTTCATTTTGTTAACTATTTTTAGTTATAATAATTTATCTGCAATTTGTTATGAATATATATCTGTACAAATATTTTCTAAAGATGTCAAAATATATGTAAAAATTATTTAATAATTTATATATGTATACTTGTAAAAGTGATGAAAATTAATCCAAGACACGAATGATCGAACATGTGTAATAAGGCCTAAAAACTAAGGTGTGTACTAAAGGTTAAACAAAGTTTCAAACAGTTTTGTTTATTATTGATTGAAAATTGATTGAAAAGTTGATAGCACAAAATAATGTTTCAACTTCAATATTGTTTTTCCTAGTGTAAGATTGTTTTTAAATTATTGTTTCGTTAATCCTTTCTTAACTGTAGTAATCATTAAGCGTGGAGAGACTTAACGAGTAGATTGATTGACAGGCCAATTCTCGAATTCTCGTTATTTCCCATCGCAATTTCTCACAGTTGATGTATGTACTACTTATCTAAATTCGGGCTCAATTCAGATCTCAATTGATTCGTTATCACATCTTGAGAGACCTTGTTGGAGAAGGAAATGAAGAAGGGAGAGAGAAGAAGGAGGACTTCTTAAAGATGAAGGGTTAGTCAGCGTTTTCTCTTGATTTTCCACTCTCGTTTTGTTACCCTCATCTCGTTTCCGTACTCTTCTATCGCACTAATGCATCGTCATTCGGCTCCGATAAATCTCCAAGACCATACGGCACGAGAATACTGAATTAAATTATGATTTAAGCGGAAAAATTGAGCAGTGGTAATGCGATTGCCAGGAGCATCTTTTCGCTACGATATATCTTGAAATCTTAGAAATTATTGTGTATTTCTATATAAATACCAATTATTTTATTATATTATTTTAGAATCATTATTTTTTTTTTCAAAGAAATATCAAAATAAACAAAAACGTTAGTTAAAATATTTTTATATTGTAAATTTACATAATTTGTATGTAAGATACAAAAAGATAAAAGTAGTAAGATATGAAAGTAATAAAATAATTTGTAAGTATCACTATAAATAAAACGACATAAAGTAATAATGATATATAATATATAATTTGTTATAATGTTAATAATTTACATTCTAGAAATCAAAATTAATAATAAATTACTTACAATAAAGTAAAAATTATAAAAACAACTTTTCTCTTTCGTTAATTAAATATAATACATAATAAGCGATTAAATTTTTATTTAAAGCATTGTGTGGTGTCTTGCATACATTACAAATGAGCAAAATGTGTTATTACAAGCACACACATCCAAATGCCCACCCACACACACACACACACACACACACGCGCGCGCGCGCGCGCGCAGACACACATGTTTACTTATCTATTAATTATAATAATTGCACCTTAATTATATTATATTTTAATTGCACATTATAATCATCTTAACTATTAGCAATTAACATATTTTTAATAATTTTTGATAACTATTATATGATATTCTAAATATATTACATACGAGTATATATATATATCTATACATGTATACAGAGTGTCCCGTAAGTTTTGTATAGATAGATTAACGGAATAAATTGAGTCGTAAAATCTTCTATCATTTTGCAATTTTCGCAATAGTTAACAAGATATTAATTACTAAAAATTGCCGAATATTGGTCTTGAATAATTTTTTACTCAACTATTAACTATACAGAAAAATTGCAAGAGACAAAAATCATGTATTTTCTCCTTATAGAACTTTTTTTAGAATTTTTTATCAACTTTTTAGTGTTGCATTTTCTTATTTTTACTAATATGAAAAAATACGGTATTAACAATTTCTGAAAAAATTCTCAGAACTTTATGAAAAGAAAATAAACAATTTTTGTATCTCGCTGTTTTTCTGTAAAGTTGATAATATTTGACTAAAAGAATTATTGAAAACTAATATTCAGCGATTTTTAGTAATTAATATCTTGTTAACTATTGCGAAAATTGCAAAATGGTACAAGATTTTTTGACTCATCAGTTTAGTCCACTCTATCTACATAAAAGTGGTTGGCGAAAACTTACGGGACTCTATTGTACTTGTATATACATATATTGTATATACATATATTAACACACATGCAGGGAATGGAAAGTTACTTTTTAAAAGTAATAAATTATTGTTACTATAGTTACCAATTTTTAAAAGTAACTCATTATAGTTACCGTTACTCGAGAAAATAACTTTTCGTTACTTTTCCGTTACTTTTTTAAAGTCGACGACCAATCAATCACAACGGTGCCTAAAGGTTTTCTAGTTTTAAGCGCTATGAGTAGTTTGTGTCTAATCGAATAGTGTCCAATTGTGTGTAAAGTAACGATAAAAGTAATTGTAAAGTTACTATTACTAAAAAAATGTAATTACGTTACCATTAAGTCATCAAAAAAGTAACTGTAACTGTTACAACTAACGAGTTACTTCCATTCCCTGTTAACATGTGTATATATAATATAATATTATATGTACAATATACCCTATCACTAAAAAGTTTCATTACAATTTAGCCTTAACAATTTTATTTTTCATTTATGAAATATAAAATTACAATATAATATACTCTTTTATTTTCAGTCACGGATTCAATAGAGTCGCGAATTGTCGAAAAACAATTATATGGAAATTATAAGTAAATTTCTCACATAAAATATTGTAGATATATAGCGGTTAAAAAGAATATTAATTGCAAATTTTGTACTAAACATCGATAAATATTTGAATATAATTATGACTAAGAATAAGAGTGGAAACAATTAACATATACATACTTATATATATTTAGTGCCAACTTAAACAATGTCTTTGATTTTAAGACATTTAAATTATGCCAACAGAATGCCAAGAATTTGACTTCTGTTATCATAAAAACGGAGGGAAATTGAACTTGAAAAAGTAAAAAAATCATCGAAAAAAGTCTTTCTTTTTTATAATTTTACTAAAAGTATGTAATAATAAATTTAAAAAAAACATAATGCATGCAAACAGTATTCAATATTTTATTTTTTATATTATGTGAAATTTCCACAAATGGAGAATGTATTACTGTAACTTTTAAGCGGTAGGATATAATACTAGATGTTACATACTATTTGTATACACATATTTTATATTTTGTATATGTATATAACAAAGTGATTAATATAATTAACGTATTGTAGACTATTAAAATAATTATAAGATAATTGATTGATATTTGCAGTCGGTTCTTATTTCAATCATCTAAAGTAATACTTTAAGATGTTAATACGTTTTTAGCTTATAACATATATCTTAAAACTATACTTAAGACAATTTTAAATATGAGAACTGACTGTCAAAAATAACCATTATTTCTAGTAGAAAAAGAATGTAAAAAATAAATTAGAAATAATTTTATTATTTTTCGCATTTCTTTTGCGTTTTTAAATTTCTATAAACTTTGTATTAAATTATATCTTAATTAATTTCATTCTAATAAATTATTGCAAGTAATAAATTATTATTATTATTATTATTAGGCGTTAGGAACTCGAAAGCTCATTGCCGCAAATACCAAATCCCGCCACTGTTCCCGTCCCTGAGCAAGATCCCTCCATTTGTGACCCTCGTACCCCATTTCGTTAAGGTCCATTCTAATATTAATAAATATATGTTTAAAAGTAATAAATATATGTTTTAATTTAATTACAATTTTTTATAATATATATATGTAGTTTTACTTCGCCATAAGCTAATAATTACTAATAATAATACATATAAGTAATATTACTTATATGTATTATTATTTATAATTTTATTTATAAAGCTGTTATGCAATAAATTTTTTTATTTTTATAAACGACATTGATAAATGCTAAGTAATGCATAGAATATATAGTAAAAACAGGATTTTCTTTGTTAATCGATTGAAGAATAATCAAAGAGGTACATTATATATACATTACGGCTGCAGATGCAGTTGCAGCGAAGCTAGGAAAGAGTAAGTATTACATTCGAACCATATCGTAACTAAATCGACATCTAATTGTGTACATATATATCGTGTAAATTAATTATTATCTATGGATCAATCAAATGAGAGCTATATATTGTACAATATATATCGGAATAATAATTATACGTATTTTGTAAAATAATGTTAACACACTGTGTTATATTACAGTTATCTTGTTAAGTTGACATTTTGTGTTACATGTACGTTACATTGTGTTTACTGAGTAGAGTCATTAATGTAATAAGTAAATTCGAGTGATAAGTAGTGTCACTAATAGTGTAATAGTAGTAGAAAAAATTTTATTATAATTTTATTGAAGTTTTATTGTGAAAATAAGTATTATTGATTAGCATCATATTTCAGAAGATACACAATAAAATTACATTAAAAATATAGTTTCTTTTATTAATTCAAAAACTAATTTTATGATACTCCCATGCAGTCACCCATCCGAATCTGTACGTCCACTTAGCATACTTGATTTCTGCGATTGTACAGGAAGAATCATGAACAGACCTACCCACACAACACATGGACGTCTTTCAGACCGCTATATTATCTCAAAAGTCCTGATTATGTACTGGTTATATCTTGAACGTCTATAGGACGTCCAAAGGGCGATTTGCTCTTAACATACATATCGTTCATAGGACGTCTATAAGACATC